AAAAAATACTCGTTCAGCTTTTCAACCGCTTTCTTGTAATCTTTTTCTTCCCCTACCTCAGAGAACGTTGCAAAAATTTTTTCTACTTCGTTTCCCGCTGCATATAGCAATAGAGCACGTTTCCGAGTATCATCTTTTATATCCATAGCAACCAGAAACCGTTCGTAGCGCCGTAACCATTCTTTCCATCGTACAGATAATGTAGTTGGATCCGAATGCGGATCAAAATTTCCCAAACCTGACAAATCCAATGCAGTCGCCACATTGGATTATTCCCAAAATTTTATCGATTTTCGGATTTCAATTTCTGAATTTCAAACGTAATAAAAACACTAATCCAACGTGTATCGTATCCCTTATCAATTACAATGTTTCCAGAGTAAAATGTTGTTGCAATTTTAGTCCTCGTCGCCAATATAATATTCTCGAACTCAACGGTTTTATTCAATCTTAATACAATATACAATTTAAGCTTTCACTCAGTCACGCCATCTTGAATCTCCCCAGTCCCCCGTCTCTAACCCGTACATCACAGGCATTTTTTCCTCGACTTTGTAAAACAAGCAAAGTAGGAGAAAAATATTTTTAGCTGGAAACAAAAACATTTTTTATCGAAAATCCAGGGGGGTGAAAGACCCCGTCAAAAGCAGAGGATCGCGGTTTGTCAGTGGTAAATACCATTGCCAAAAGGAACCAGATGGCGTAAGCAAACGTGAAAATCCGCCATGTTTTTGGCGACACTTTTTTGACTGGCGGAGGATAGGAGCACCTCCTCCAGTAATATTATAGCTCAGTGCCATGAACGGTGAACCATGCGCCCGCGATATTTGATGAACTTTAGACTCCGCTAATGCTTTCGTTTCCCCGGGTGTAAATAGCCGGGGGGAATTAGTACCCTCGCACGGCGCTTCGCGCCGCCGCCGGCTCGGGGATAATTGTCCATTTTGTTATTTTCTTTCTTTCTGTTTGCAAATTATCTCCATTAATCCATAGAAAACAAGCAGTATACGTTTGTACTTGTTCGTATTTCGAACGCGCTCTCCTTGAAGGCAGCCATATTGCCCAATATAAACATCCACTTGATGAATAAACTTTTCATATTTCACTCTATTTCCAACGACCAATCAAATCACTTCTGCTTCGGCTTGTCCCAGGGCTTACGGCAACGCAGGCAGCCGAGAAGCCCTGGGAACGAGGATGCATTCAAGAGAGACTTAACAGGGTGATCGCTAGATAGTATACTTCAAAATAAGGTTTCCGTTTTTATAACGTAGAAAAAACTATCCTATAACGCAAAACTAAACCCTAACCCTAATACTAACCCTCACCCTAACCCTAACCTCACCCTAACCTAAACCCTAACCTAACCCTAACTTATTTTAATTATTTTAAAAATTGATATAAAAACGGAAACCTTATTTTGAAGTATACTATCTAGCAATTGCCGCCTTTTGAGAGACTTAAATTCTTATTCAAATACGTTCAGCTTGTTAGTTTTAAGAAATTTGCTTTTCTAAGCGAGGTTTTCGAGTTATCATTTTCTGAAATTCGATCAGAGTGAGTTTGTATTTAAAAGTCAAACCTGACAAATCACACATATGTGTTCGCTTGTTATTAATCTGATTTAAGTAAATGAATATACAAAGCTCAGACGAATTGCATTCACAGGAGCCAATGTTTCGCACTCTGCGTGCGAGTGGCTTCCGTAAGAGTTTTTTCGTGTTTTATATAGGCCTGTATGTTATTACAAATCTAAATACTACAAAATATTAGATTTTCCGGACCTACATGATGTTATCGTGAGAATAACGTCGATTTGTTATTCTTATGCACATTTTTCACATGCGCCAACCTTGATTTTAGAATTGGTTTGTATATACGCTTTTCAATGATGTTACGGAAGAACAGCTTAATATATATTTGCATGTACACAAGTCATGAACATTTGCTTTATTTCAACAAGTATTAATACGATTTATCATTTGTTATTGAAGAGGGTGGGTTAATAAAAATTTACTGAGTACTACGTGTATACGTGCATTGTTTTAGAAAACGAAAGCACACCAACCTCAAATACGTGTAGATCAACATTCAATGTCAGTCTCTCTCTGTCAATTCATATTCCAAAATCTTTTAAAGGCTGAGAAACTTTTCTAAAAATCTATTAGGCCTGGTCAGGGGTTTCAGGAATATTGGTATTTAGACCATTTTTCTTTTGGTATACAATATTTTATTGTTACATAAGTATTGTTATTATAACCAAAATTAAATGCTCAGCCAGACAAACATATAGCATGGAATTTTAGGTATAATGATATATTGGGCCAGTATTATTGAGTACATTGGTAAACCCTCGGCTATAGGCCTCATCTACAGGTTTTCCACAGAACTTAAAGAGAAGTATTATAAGGAACTTACTACGACACAATAATTTCAATTACGACATAACTATATACCTTTTAATAGATTCTCAAGTTTTCACATTTGACTCGACAATCCTGGGTATTTGCGGCTATTATTGCTTTGTAATTATATCAATATATCAAAATTTCTGTCATTTCTATTCAGTATATGACGAGTAAGCACTTACCGAGCAAATAAACAATTATCTATATCATCCCAAAGCGACGTAAGCCAAGCAAATACCAGCTATTTGCATGTATTCTGATAAAAAAAACTGTACATCAGTATAGGATAAGTTGACGACGATCAAATTACTTTCTTCACAAACATAACTTTAGTATAAAAGTTACGAATTTCGAAAAAGTTATAAGATGAATGAAACTGATATGCTCTAGCCGACTAGCGTTTATTAATGCTTTGGAGCAAGACCATGCAAGTTCTAAAGCTCGGTGGGAGAGATTTTAATTTTTATGCAAATACGTTCAGCTTGTTAGCGCGTGTGGAATTTTCTTTTTTAAGCAGCGGAACTTCCAAAATGTCCGTGTTATAGAAGTGACTGTATATAAAAAGGTCACATAAATTTGATTAAGTTGTCATATATAGAAGAAAGTACTGTTATTTGTGCACAAAAATTTTGGGTACTGAAACTTTATAATAGTAAGACTAAATTAAGATAGTATTTTTATAATGTTCAGTTCCTCTTTCGTTTTCTTCGATGGCGTCTGTCTTGTTCTGTCGTTTGGGTTTCAGCTTTGAACTTCCTTGCTTATTCTGCTTCCATTCTGTATCCACGCGAGCTCTGCATTTAATATACTCTGCGTGACTAAAGTTGACTTACTGACTATAAGGTTGAGCTGGGTACCTCAAACTCCAAAGCTATAATTATTTATTTTTCGCCGTATATAATATTCTGCAATATCATGCTTCTTACCCCGAAAATATTCTGCTGTAACATAAGTAAGAACCTCTAAGGAATTCTAGTTTTGAGTTCATAGATGTAGTATTATTTATAGCCACAGGTCCGTCGCTAGAGGGGGGGATGAGGTGGTGACACCAACGTCAAAAATTAACTTACATCCTCCCCCCCCCCCCTCATTTAAATAGGGCTAGCGACGCCCCTTTCACAGAGTACCACATACAGAGGTCTTGCTTCTACGGGAAAAACATATGGTAGTTTTTACCGAAATACCTGGCGGGCATGTTCTTAGCAAGCTAGTGAAGAGAGACATTTACCCACCTGGAACATTAAATTTTAAAATTTTAATATGTTTTCATATTTTCTAAAGGACACTTGCTAAGAACATGGCAGACTGAAAAAATCTTTGAGATGAATAGAACTGGAATGCTACCCCCAACTGAAAATTTGAAGCCAAACTTGAAGGCCAGTCCGAGTCCTCTGACCCCCCGACACTAAATTAACCTGAAGTGAGACCTCTGTATATGTACTGTACTTCTGAGTCTGTGTGCCTGTACTAGAGTCGGTGCATTCACACCGTGTCATTCACATTATATGTGTCAACAATGCACGAACGTACAAAAAAGTGAAGTGCTGAATATCAATTAGTAGACGTCATAGTCATCATCCGGTACGTCATCGTAGTCATCATCCGACACGTCATCGTAGTCATCATCCGACACGTCGTCGAGGTCGAGGTGTTCGAACTGACTTGCGAAGCTGTCAATATCATTCTGTTCACCATGCTGGCATATTCCCAGCGCACAGAATTCACAAAGACTTGTTTGGTGAGGGGCGGACATATCTGCTTGGACATATGCGTTTCCTGTTGTACTGGTGGGAACGTTCAAAGCATAGAACTTTTGCTTTACTTTATTCAGCAGTTTTGTAATCGCACGCTCTATGCATAAATTATGCCACATAGCATTTTCGAATACGCCGTTGCATTTCAAACATTTTTGTCCTCCCAGAAACAGCTTTACTTTGCGATGTTGTCCAGTGTTGAAACCGGATTGGCGATAGTAGAATCTGGCTCCAGCATTAACGGATGTCCATCTGTTGTTGCATGTGGCTGTGCTACATTCAAACGTTGCCTTTCCAGTGTATTGCATTTGTAGCCATCCGCTTTCCTGCACTACATTGCTCACTATTTCCAAATTCCACGGGTCATCCAGCTCAGAAAATAGTTCGTTGAATTTGGTTGACCATTCTTGATGAGCCATACTGCTGTAGTCTAAAACAATGTAAAACGTTAACCAGTCAAACGTAAAGTTTACATATCAGCCATGAAAAGAGCTTTAAAAGACTTTTCGGTTCTTTGAGGGAATTACAATTCACAGAATTATAGAATTCTTTGAGGGAAATACAGTAAGACCTCGTCAAGAATTTAAGGCCGCAGGGGGGGAAGTTTAAATCTTTCTAAAGTTTACATGAAAGTACTAATACTGTACCAGTCTATTTGTCTCAACAAATACCTGTCAATTTTTACAATATTTTTTTATTACTATAATTCGCCCAAATTACATTAAAAATTATGCAATATTCAATACGACAATAGAACATCTATTTAATTTAAAGTAGCAAGGCTAGGAACTTTCCAGAAACCATATTGTCCATGTTAAGGCTTTTATTTGAACGTGATCTACAGTCCGATCTGTGCATGTGCACAAAGGAGCCCACGTTTTATGATACAAACAGTTTAATTAACTATGTTTTGGGTTCTTGAAAAGCCTGATTATTGTTTCTTGATCATTTATTATACTCTAGAAGCTTGAAAATATAAATAGTTGTCGAATAAAGCTCAATATTTTGGACACAAAAATGTAAGCAAAGGCTTTGTTTACATACGGACTGTAGAGCACCTTTAAGGTCCCTATATAGATCTTATGTAAGGTCATCCAATTGTTGTTGTAGAGACTTCGTTTACTTATCTTTCGAAAGAAAATCTTCTAAGGATTTCAAAAATATATAATGTGTCTCGTATTAAATAGAAAATACCTTTTTAAATGAAGAAAAGTGAATGGCCTTTGGCTTTGCGCGTCAGTCGAGACATTAAATATTTAGTTTAGACTGTACTGTAGGCATCAAATTTCGTCGGGAAATTTGGTGAAAACTTGCTCAAACCTTTACACACTTTGTATAATCTGTATCGCTATACAACCAGGAGTTTAAAAATGTTTGAATGAAGTATTTTGGTTGAGTATTTTAAAAATTATCCAAAGTTTAGTACTGTTGCGCTATATTATGCCATGCATGCGATCATATGTATTAAAATATTTTGAAATTCTCAGTACAAAACTTTAGATCATTTTTAAAATACTCAACCAATATACTTCATTCAAACATTTTTAAACTCTTGATTGAATAGCGATACAGATTGTAGAAAGTATGTAAAGATTTGAGCAAGTTTTCGCCAAATTTTCCGACGAAATTTGATGCTTACAGTCTAAACTAAATATTTAATATGTCTCGACTGACGTGCAAAGGCCATTCACTTTTCTTCATTTAAAAATTATTTTCTATCTTAACACGAAACACATTATATATTTTTGAAATTCTTAGAAGATTTTCTTTCGAAAGATAAACGAAGATTTTCTTTAGAAAGATAAACGAAGTCTCTACAACAAAAATTGGATGAGCTTACATATAAGATATGTAATCTTGTTGTTATGTTGTAAACAATTAAACTTTAGTCAAGCGGCTACCAAATTGACTCCTCACTTCTAAATTTCTGATCGTATAAACTTGATTCAAACATTTTCCAATAGCTTATTTCTCGAGGATTAAAAAAATATAAAATTTACCTTGTCTTGGAGCAGCAAGTGTAGGAAATTTTGAAGAACAAATCAATTTCGGGCATTGAAATTAAGTGGTCTTAATTTATTACACCCCAAAATTTGGGTGTCAAATTCTAGCTAGCCTGCATGGCAGGCGGTTCCTAGAATTGGGCAAGCCTGGGAAATACCGCCTGCTGGGTTTGGCAGTGTAATCGAATTCCCCGTCCACCAGTGGACGGGAATTGATGATTGGCTGCGAGTCTGAGCCGCTGTCACTCAAAAGTGAATGCACTTTAATATGTAAACATACGTTTGACACTTTAATGATGCATGCGTTCGCTTTAATTAATAGTGAGCTTAAGCAAGTGACGTTTTTGACAACACGGACGTCGACCGGAAGTAAAGTTGACGTTTTTCACCAATCACAGCCCTTGACCCAGTCTTCTGACGTTACTCATGCCGTTCGTGTTGTCAAAAACGTCACTTGCTTAAACTCCCTAATAGGTGTTGTAAAACCGAACGCTTCTCGAAAGTCGAAACGCGAACTGATTGTCAAACGCGAGCAAGAGATAGCAGTTAAAGATTTACTCCTCAATTGGAAAGAATGTTTTGGCCATTCTATGGGAAAAGCTTGATTTTTACATCGTTCTTGTTGGCGCGAGAAAATATAACGAGAATAGATACAGACGGCCGTATAGTCTTTCTTGCAACGGGTTTTATAACAGGACTATTACGCCTATGCCTATTAATAGCCGCTTCACTTTCTGAACTTTTTAAGGCTTTCGTTACCACACGGCTTCGTTAGGGAGACGAGACAGTTCATATTGGCAACTAAGGTTTTTAATATACAACTGTCTATTTGTTCGAACGTACGCAGGCAACGCGTTTATGTCTCGTTTGATTATGGCAATCAGTTCGCTTGCATTTCGGATATTTCGCTCACACGGTTGGCAAACTGGGTCGGATAGTTCCGAGGTAGAATTAACTTCGATTCCTAAATGAACTGAACCGGCAATTCGGCTTATTTCGGCCAAGGTTTTACCACTGTCGTAACGTTTCTTTTGCTTGCCTTAAATAAATAATTTCTCCAACGATATATAAGAATATAAGATATTTTCTCTATTGGCGTATTGCCCCGTATTTTAGTTTCAAAGCACACTTAAACAAACGACAAGTCATTTACATTTTCCGCGCTTGCTTTTCTACCTCTTGTCGTTATTCGCCTTATTCGGTCCTGATTGAAACTTTTAATGGCGTTTCTTTCGACATATTTTTATACATTTGCAATTTTTCAACCAAACAATAACATAGTTTGACAGTTTGATTATTAATATATTTAGTGTTTGCTGATTGGCTAATTGGACACAGACAAAAAAGTGGGCGGTTATCAAATTACACTGCCAAACCCAGCAGGCGGTATTTTAGACCGCCTGTCATGCAGGCTAGTCCCAATAAGGCAACATGATGTGATGATGCGGTAATGAAAATGTGTGTGGTATATAGTATTATCATTCACCAGTCACCAGTCACCAGTCACCACACTTCAAATTCTATAGTATTGTATTACATGTGTTGGGGTACTTAACATCGACGCATTCATCTTCTCAGTGTCACTGAAGAGCAAGATAGGTTGGTCTCTTTGGAGTATCTTTGCTTGGAAAAACTAATTTGCTAAAATTTCGTCCTAAAATGCCATTTCATGCCTTTTTCCACGAGCAAATTATTTCAGACCGCCTACTGCAGGTAGTTTTTAGGAGACCTTGCAGTGGGGCTGGAGGGGCAAGTAAGAGGGCTGGCGGGACATGTTCCCCCCAGTCTATATGTTAAAAGAGGCCCTGGAAAGCTCTACACAGAAAGTTGTGGGTTTTCTCCTGTTTCATTCCAGCAGGGAATGTTGACATGGTGGATTGGGATAAGCCCCGAACTGATCCTTCCACCGTAGCTGTGCTCCGTGATCAGACATGAGTCTTAAGATGGCTGCCAGAGGCGCCCTTAGAAAGCCTTCGACTCGATCAGGTTGAGCTGCGTCCTTCGCAATTCAGCTTAGCTCTCAGCTGCAAGTAATTAACTTACAATCAAAGCTGTCATGATATATTTCCAGGGCTAATCGTATCAGTCGTTGGACGAGATGATCAACTTTATGCTCATGATGATTCTGTGGCTCTTCTCACTGTTGATGATGGTGATCAAGAACAAACTCAAGGATGTAAACAACCAACTGCGCAGACAACGTGGAAAGAGATTCTGAACATGCCAAAGTTGAAGAAAGATTATAAAATGCTTAATCAGTGTGTAGTTTTATCAAATCATTTATAGCAGTTGTTTCTCAAACTTCTTTAGTAATCTCTTCATCGTCCGCTTCCTTTAAACACTTCATTATAGATACTTCATGGCATTTAACTATAATTTCACAATCATCAGTAACTTCGAAGCTTTCTGCAAACGCGAAAATACAATCCTTCTATTCCCAATCAAAATTCTTGATTTTCTTGCCCAAATGTCTTGCAATGAACCGAAGAACTAAATGCCTTTTTTCACTTTTGACATGGTCGGAAATGATCTTCTTTATTTCGGTTGGAGCGAGTGTTTCTGTCACGTGTCTTGCAGCAAGAAATTCTTGTATGGTTAAATGGATAAAACAAAATTGTGTTCGTAGTGGGAAAATAGGGTCGGATATACAGTTCAATAAACCAGATTTTTTCATTTGTTCATCAAATAATACTTGATCAAAAATCAGTTGCCCGCTTTCCATACCAAGGAATGCTAATTAGGGTTCCTGTCTGCATTTCTGTGATGTTTCTCAAAATGATCTATGGCTGTCTGGTAAAGTTCTGTCAGTGTTGTTGGAAGAGCATCGGTGTCATTTCTTGGGTGACTGTAAGACATCCAGAGAGGGTAACACACACTATAAAGCAGATGACTGGAATGTAATAACAAAACAATACAAGTCAGCTTAAGGACAGTCATCCCTCTAAATGGTAGAATGAAATGAATGGCAGAAATAATTGGAAACTAACATGGGATGTGCATGATTCCCCGGTTAGATTTCCATATAATATCAACAACTTCCTCGTAAATCTAACTGAGCATTTTGACCCATTAATTCCCATAAATACCCAAAAATTCCCAAGATGTACCTGACTGGCTTCTCACCACTGAATTCCCAGTAATTAATGAAGGAAAGTTGAGGAAAGCTGGGGCCCAGATGGCTTACCTAATCGTGTCCATGGGCGTACCGGAAGGAAAAAATTAGGGGGGCGGCAAGAAAATTGCCCGACTTTTCGAGATTCTGCCCGACTTTTCGGGATTCTGCCCGACTAGGACCAAAAAAATTTTTCCGGAAAAATTATTTTGGCGACCTCCCCCCCCCCGTCGCCAAAAAAATTTCGGTCAGTGTACCATTTTAGGGGTCAAAAAAATTTTCCGGACAAACAATTTTTCCGGAGCATAACATAAATTTTCGAAAAAAACAAAATTTGCCAAAAAATTGAATTAATTTTAGACAAAATTGACAGAATTTGACCCATTTTTTTTTATTGCAAACCAAAATTGCCCGACTGTTCATCGAATATTGCCCGACTGCCCAAAAAACTGGGGGGGCTGCCGCCCCCCCCGCCCCCCCGCCCGGTACGCCTATGATCGTGTCCTTAAAGAATTTGCGACGGAACTTGCTATTCCGATTGCTTGTACTTACAATTCATCAATGAAACAATCCTTGATTCCTGACATGCTGAAGTACTGTTGAATAAACTCGCAGGACGTGTACATGTTTTATTAGGTCTAAAGCCACTCCCGCGGCTTCAAACACGACTATACAAACTCAATAGATATACTGCCTTAGTAATATTCTTTATATATTAAAGAATATCAATAATTAGGACACGACTACAATAGATACTGCCCTATTAGTATTCTTTATATAAAGAATACTAATTAGGAGTGTTTTATCAGGTTTAAAGCCACTGCACGTGACATATTATGGTTGACATGATTTGCGAATAAGCTTATGAATTATTAATGAGTTTTTGAAAAAATGCTTACATAGTTCACCCCATCCCAAAAGCTTATCCACCTAAAACCATTGAGGAAGCAAATTGCAAAAGTGTTAAACGCCTATTATCTCAACCGTCTGGAAAAATTGACAAGAAACAATACCCACAGAAAAGGTCCACGACTGATGAAATAAGAGATAAAGGTCACTGTGAAATTCGATTTTTTTGCGGATTTTTCGAAGAGTTTCGATTTGATTAATCACAACATCCTTACCAATAAATTGGAATCCTTAGTTGTTCATCCCATTTTACAACCATGGATTGCTGCCTTCCTTACCAACAGATCCCAGTGTGTCCAATTAATAATGGAATTAGATCGGAATGGAAAACAACCAATGGAGAAATTCCGCAGGGGACAAGGTTGGGTCCAATTCTGTTTAATGGTCAATGAATTGGTGAAAAAAATGGGGCAACAGAATTAAATTTGTTGATGATTTAACTGTAGCAGAAATAATACCAGGGAATTCATCGAGTTTATTACATATGATTGTTGAAGAAGAAATCCATCGATATGCTGTTATGAATCGCATGAAATTGAACCTGGGAAAGTGCAAGGAAATGATAATTAATTTCATGACCTGTGATAGCATTGGATGCCATCCCCTGGTTATAAATGGAATGGTTGTTGAACGAGTGAATAGTTATAAACTTCTCGATTAATTATTAACAATATTCTATCTTGGTGTGAACATTCCCTTGAAAAATGCAAGAGAGCTTCTAAACGTTTGTTTGGACTTCGCCAACTTAACAAGCAGGAATTAATCATAAAAATATCGTGATGGTGGTGCATTGTACGAGTATACGCCCAATACTTGAATATGTCTCCGGCATGGTCGAACATCCTGTATTCCCCAGCCAACGGCGCCGCGGAGCGCCGTTGCGGGCGTTAGCCCGGGGCGAGGGTACTAATTCCGCCCGGCTATTTACACCTGGGGAAAGGAACGCACTAGCGAAGTTTAAAGTTCATCAAATACCGTGGGCGCATGGCTATGACCCAAGGGTGGACTTCCTCACTGATCTCAAAAATATGGCTGTTTGCCAGGAGTGGGATAAGCACACTGAGGTTATTACTCTAAAGCAAGATTTCAATTTTCAAAAGCATATACTTGGAAAATTATCACGTTTCACACAATGAGCTTTAAAGGAAATTTTGTTTGAAAAAATGAGAAGAATTTATTTACTGTGCAAAATCGTGAAATATAGGTTTAATGTTTATGAATTTTGTTGCTTTATTAATTTATTGCGTAAAACATGCACTGCTGATTTCCTTTTCAATGAAGCTGTAAGTTTCCTAAATTACCCTGTTTAATTTAAGAAAAAAAAGGTAAATGTGAAGGAGAGCAAATTAATTTGAAGACCTAATGTCTGAGTCAATTCCTGGAGTAACCATCCCCCCGGGACACCCCCGGGAATTTGCCCGATAGACAGTTCACGGGGGTCGGGAATTTGAATTGAATTGAATTTGAATTGATTTAATGACTACTGACTTTGTAACCCAAAAAGGTTAAATTACACCAGTATTACATGAATTAAGAGGATAAGTTAAAATTACATAATAATTACATATTTAAGATTATTTACATTTCTAAAAACTTATTTACTGTTAATCTTTAATATACTTTGAGGTAAAAACGAATTCTTAAAACGTTCGGTTCTGCAAACATAATTATGATATTTACATATCGGTCTTAGATCATATCCAGATAAAACTGTTTGTGGTAAAAGATCTTTGAGATTTTCATTGTCAATATTCTTCTCAAAGAAATGTTCGCATAATTTTTCTCGTCGATCTCTCAGTGACGTGATGTTAGTCGTGATCAGCGCTTCGTCGTACTTTTGCGATGGGAGGATTATTTTCAACGCGCGTTTTTGTATTTTTTCAATATCGTCACATAAATATTGTTGGATATTGTAATGCCAGACCTGGCATGCGTACTCTAAAACAGGCCTAATAATGGTAGTATATACAGTAATTAACGTGTCAATACACGCGTTGGACCTTTTTAGCAGTCTTAGCATATAGAGCCTCTTGCTAGCTTTTTTAACTATGTTATTTATATGTTCATTCCACTTCATGTTATCTTGGACTGTGAGGCCAAGGATACGGGCAGATTTCTCTCGTTCAATATTAACTTTATCGACTGTTAAAGGGGGAAAGCAATGCTTCTTTTTTGCAAAATCAATAACCAGTTCTTTGCATTTTCCAATGTTTAATTTCATATTATTACTCGTAGTCCAATTATTGATGTAATTAACCAGTTCTTGAAGGTTGCTGTTACAATCTGGGCCAATGGTTTCGGTAGTGGTGGTGTCGTCAACGTATTTCCATCGGTCTTTCCAATCAACGAGGAGATCGTTTATCATGATTAGGAAGAGGATTGGGCCTAAAACAGTTCCCTGGGGTACTCCACCGTTGAGGATTTGCCATTCTGACACACAATGGGGCATTCTGACCCGTTGACTTCGTTGAGTAAGAAAACTTCTTATCCAGTTTGTTATTAATGATGGAACGTCCATATCAGATAATTTACTGAGGAGGATGTTATGATCGATATGGTCAAAAGCTTTGGAGAAGTCTAATAAAAAAATTCTCACAGCGTTTTTCGGCACATCAGTTTCGTTTAATAAGTGATGGAGAAGGCTCAATAATGCATGTGTTGTTGAAGAGTTTTTAGAGATCCAAATTGCCGTTTATCGATCTTCTCACCAATCAACTCCATCAGCCAGTCTGCGACAAAACGTTCACACGTTTTTGACAAAGTGGCAGTAAGCGAGATGGGACGCAAGTCTTTAGTAATGTCCCTCAGCACCTTATTTTTAGGTACAGGGATGACGTCGGCTTTTTTCCATACCCCGGGAACAAACGCCTGTTGAAGGGAGGCGTTGAAGATTGAAGTAACAGGGGAAGACAGCAGGGGCGCATAATCTTTTAGGACCCAATTCGGTATTTCATCTGGACCAGCTGCTTTCGAGGATGATATTGAAGATAATTTATAATAAATGTCTTCTTCCCTAATAATGTACTCGGTTGGAATTGTAGTACAATCGCTTTGTAATTGGCTATCGGGGAAAGGGATAGGACTAAGGGGAGGAATATCTCGAGTAACGGATACGAAAGCCTCGTTAATTTTTTCAGCAAGTTGCTTTTCAGAGACGACTTGCTCTCCTAGGACAATACTTGAAAAAGATTTCTTCTTAGGGTAGCCAGCTATTTGTTTTACGATGTCCCACCATTTCTTAGGATCAGGGTTACGTTTCAATTGTTTCAATTTATGTTCTAAGAATGCAGATTTAAGGTACTTACTTTCTCGATTGGCGCGATTACGTAGTCGCCGGTACAATTTGTCATTTTTCTGATTTGCCTTTCATATATGTGCACGGGGGCCGGGGATTGGAGGACCCCGGGGATTTGACAAATGGTTGCCCAGAATCCCACCCACAAATTTTAAGGCAGCAAAACATAGTTTCAGGCAAGCATGTGGGCGCGCTGATCGTATTTTGCGCCCTCGTGGTCAAGGTGGCGTGAAATTTATTGTAAGAATAAGCGAAAATTATACCCTGTGCCATGCAAATTTAAATACAACTATTAAAAGTTTATGTTTTATAATATTCCATAGCAGTTTAATACTATAATGTTATTAAATGACTATGATTATATGCCATTAAAAGTTCAATTAACGTTTACAGTCGATTTCACGAAACTTTGACCACAAATTTTCCGAACTTCTTTGCGAAGTTCACAAGATTGTTGCGAAGTTCAAAAGTTCATAATGAGATTCACAAACCAGTTCGTAAACTACGCATTTGATTGGCTTCTTTTACTTCACGGACCAATCAGGGACTTTGTTTACAAATTGGCTTGTGAATTCCAAGATGAGCTTCCGAACTTCGCAACGAACTTGCGAACTTCGCAACGAAGTTCGGAACATTTGTGGTTAAAGTTTCGTGAAACCGACTGTAAAATCGTCCCCGGGGTGGGGCATTTTCCACTCTCAGCTTGCCCAGGGGCCGTGCATTAGTCTTCAAGTTGTGTCCCGGCACCCGGGTATTTACACTATCATAACCAATCAAATCAAATGCCCGGGTGTGTTCCCGGGGGGGGGGATGGTTACTCCTGGAATTGACTCATGCATATCTGAAATTATTCAACAATTTGAAGTAAAAACAATTTATCGGCAAAAGCAGTTTAGTTATTAAAATGAACATTTCAAAACATTTTACGAAGCGATTCAGGGTAAATTTTACATTAAATCAAAGCTCACAAAATCCAGAACAACATACCTACAGTATATAATGTATTTCGGAAATTCCATTTTTTGACTATTTTGCCGTGTTGTACCACAGGCGGCCCAACTCGCAAGGGTCAGTATAGACTTATAGTATAGTAAAAATATGTCGTAAAATATAAATTTTAAAATGAAATTGACTTGCCTATTTGATAGTCTGTGTTCTCCTTTTATTCCTCCTTTGTTGGACTAATATTTTCCAAGACTTTGTCATAGATTAAGAATGACTTTGTACTCGATGTTACTAGTATACATGAAACATGATAAAGGCTAACGATTCCCGATCGTCGATCCGACGGCACGGCACTTCGAATCGAAAATTCTCACACTCAAATCGCTTTATTCTCCCACGGATTCTCCAAAACAATTCGCCAGCATGTACAACAAATGCCGTTCTTCGAAAATACAGAGGTATTTCGGCGAGATGTACAAGTTTTCGACCATATTTTAACAATGGAAATCAAAACCCATTTTATATTGAACTTACCCGGACCGAAAATTACTACGGCGAACGTCTGCGCAACCAGGCCTCCTTTACCGTTGGATTTACAGGGGGGGAAGCAGATATTTCCGGTAACAGCCAGCCAATCGCGGTTGCGTAGCGACTGTTTACATTATTTGAAATTTGATATTCAAAATAAAAACTCCTTCGATCGGATACTGTATAAAACTCGAGATGTTGTCGAAGAAAAGAAAATTAAACGACGGAGATTGAAGAAATTTAAGGAAGAAGTAACATACAGCGGCTCTTTGTTGGAAAGTATGGTAGAATATGATACTTTAATTCGAAATATTATCGTGAATATATTAGTGGCATCCTCCCCCCTGTTAATCCAACGGTAAAGGAGGCCTGGTTGCGCAAACGTTCGCCGTAGTAATTTTCGGTCCGGGTAAGTTCAATATAAAATGGGTTTTGATTTCCATTGTTAAAATATGGTCCAAAACTTGTACATCTCGCCGAAGTACCTCCGTATTTTCGAAGAACGGCATTTGTTGTACATGCTGGCGAATTGTTTTGGAGAATAAAGCGATTTGAGTGTGAGAATTTTCGATTCGAAGTGCCGTGCCGTCGGATCGACGATCGGGAATCGTTAGCCTTTATCATGTTTCATGTATACTAGTAACATCGAGTACAAAGTCTTGGAAAATATTAGTCCAACAAAGGAGGAATAAAAGGAGAACACACACTATCAAATAGGCAAGTCAATTTCATTTTAAAATTTATATTTTACGACATATTTTTACTATTATATACATTAATATAATATACATTTATGCTATATATAAGTTTATACTGACCCTTGCGAGATTGGGCCGCCTGTGGTTGTACAAAAGTATAATAAAAATTAAAATTATCGTGTTGCCATGGCAACACTGACGTAAACGCGAGCCTGCGTTCAGTGTTGATCAATTACTAATACTTCATGTTAAATCAATGTTTGGAAAATATGGGCGAGGGGTTGCTGCATGCATGTATTTCTAGTATATAAGTAACCAACTTGAGGATGTCCAAAGACGGGCATTGCGTATTATTTACCCAGCGTCAGAATACAATGACTCCTTAAGAATCTCTGGACTCATGCACACTGCTATCAAACTGTAGGAAGATCTTGCGCCAAAAATATATGAATACAGTACAACCACCATGTCATCGATCCTTTAAACCATCTACTAGATGTGGCTGCGTCTTACTCCCACGGTTATAGCCTGAGATCGGGAAATTCAGGAGCATTACGTAAAGCAAAGGTAAAGTAACTAAAAAATAAGATGATGTGAAAACTTCATCCTTTTCCGCTACTGTCATGACCGTCATTCAAGCAAGCAATGTCGGTGACTGTGAGAATGTAAATATAATAGTATAAAATTTAAATTTTTTACCTTTATAGACATTTTAATCAAGTTATTTTATCGTAATCTTAATTGATGTATTATCCTGTTATTCAATTATTTGCCAGAGGGTTTTAATAAATCTGCACATTTCGATCAAAATCAAGTTTCGAGTAAAAATCATCTGCAGTAGGTCTGCTCGTTACTGCAACTGACAACTGTTGCTCCTTTCTAGCCTCCTCCGCAGGCCTCTCTATGGGTTCTAGTTTTCCCACCACCCGATTCGTCGGGTGAGATGCCTGCGGAGGAGGCTAGCTCCTTTCAACAAGTCGCCCAAAACTAGTTTAATGAATAAATTCACTGCTGGCCAGGATTAGGATTGTTTGGAATGATGCGAGACCATCAAAAATAAGAATGGTTTTTTGTGGCTCTTTTGCAATTTGTTAGTAAATACTTTCGAAATTTTATTCACTGAGTCCCATACCAAACCGAAGAACTGTCTTGAGGGATATATTTTTTAATTTGTTAATATTTTCGTTGAACCATCTGAATTTGAAAAAGAAGACAATCTTGTCGGAATAATATTCATCAATTCCATTAGCCCAGCTGCCCAGTCATGGAGAAAAAACAGTTTTTCCAATCCCAGGTTTTCCAATCGCCAAAATGCTACGAGGAAATTCTCCCTTTGTATCTTCATTGGGATAAAAAAAATCTCTTATAAAGTCTGAACGTATGGATCTTGAGGGAACTTTCATATAAACATCGTATATTTCGTGTCTTTTCATTTGTTTAGAAAATGTATGCTGCGCTCGTTCAGTATGGATAACGTCAATATACAAATCATCTATATTAGCGTTTGGTCCATAAATTATACCAGGTGCACGAGAACTATCCAAAACTTGTTCCTTGTCAGTACGTAAGGTTGCTTTCGATACCTGTTAAACACCAGGTATAGTATATTGGTTGCCAAGAAGATATTTAATAACAAATTTAGAGTCACCGCTCCAGCCAACTCCAGAATGACGGTTGGGATTGATAAACGTGGCAAAAGATAAATCACTTCTCCAAGTATAATTAAGGCAACAATACTGTTTATTACAGACACAATTAATCACTAATGTACCATTCAAATTACGACTGGCATTCATTGGTGTATTTATGTTGGATGTCACTGGATCCGTTGGTGGCAAACCAGTATAATGGTGAAAGCACCGCGCGTAATGCTAACCGCGTATAATGACGAAAGCATCGCGCGTATAATGTTGAAAGCACCACGTATAATGGTGAATTAGCACCGCGTATAATGCTCGAACCACCGCGTATAATGTTGAAAGCATTGCGTATAATGGTGAAAGCACCGCGTAGAATAGTGAAAGCACCGCGTATAATGCTAAAAGCACCCAACAAAATGTCGTTAGATCACTTAAGACAGCTATGGCTTTCCATATTGGTCCAACAAAGTTGCATGATGTTGCACAATATTAGATGAATCTTTTAAACAAAGTTAAACCCCATCAAACATTACCTAGGTCAACATCATCGTGTTGCATCCACCAATTTTGAACTCGAAAATGACGGTGGACCAACATTTTCGTCTCGTTTGAATGGGTCTTTATTGTCTTTATATAGTTTCTGGGCTCACAGAGCGAAAGCTTTGAAATTATTATAATAAATAGACGTGATGTTTTTCACCAACCAAAGTTAAGCAAATATTATATAATTATCGCCATGCAAAAATACATTCATTTGGTGTAATAGATTCTTGACAGTCCACTGTCGGCTGACAAGCTCTTTTATTAATTATGCATTTTCTTACCATGCATTCTTGTAAATAACTGAGCAGCTGTCGCAGCGCTTCGTTCTGGACCCGGAATAAATATGACCCAAATTACGTGTGGCCGTATTGCGTATTGTAAAACAATTAACGTTTCATATATAGCGGGTTATTCTTTAATGACACGCATAAGATGCCATTTGCCATACTTTTATCATTGACAATATGATCTCTGTGCGTATGATTTTGATGCTGTACATATCTACTTCCCCACCCATAATTTCCCAATGCTTAACCTTCTATTATTGCATTGACCTATACAGTACAATCAATATACATATGTACAGTGCCGTTCTCGCTAAACGTTTAACAATATTCGAGCGAAAATGCAGCAAACCTAAAAACTATGGAATTTCGCAAGTGAAATGGTCATTTTGGCACAAAGACACTATTTCAAAAGCATATATGTCCTTAATTTCTCCGGCCTTTCTGATCATTATGTATTTCGTTGATCAATTTTCGTCATCTAGCATCGCGAAGGGCGCATAGATGCTTTTCCATTATCTGCACTATTGTGTGGAATGGAGTTCTTGGAACTTCTATACTTCCGCCAATAATGCCGCATTCTGTAATTGTTCCCATCGATTTCTGTTTGCAATTGCTCCGTCAAGAAGCGGTTTTAGAAGTGGATTAACTTTTGCACATATCTATATATTAAATGAAACAATTATATTGACATTTGAAACTTCTAAATATGTATAGGTTATATATCATGGTTAGGTGGAAAAGTACCTGCAATATACACTGCAGATATAAAATTTTAATCACATATGTAGGCTAATGCATACAAGAACAATGACGAAACTAGATCTAGATGGAAACTTTAAGTGTGAATTGTATACATTTTTTGACTGGGGGCTGCAGCTGCGAAAAATGCAACTATAAGCCCTGTGTAAGGGGTCGAACTTGTGGCCTAACGATTCCAGTGCAGCGCTCTGACCACCTGAGCTGTAGAATCCACTTTTCGAACTTTAACCGCAAGTTCATGTATATAATTTATGCTAAGTTGATGCCAGTGTATGGTCCCCGTTCCAGAATCCTGCCCGTTGCGAATCAGGCCCCCATAAAACTGAAGGCCTGCCACGCAGGCTTTGGGTAAACATGATCAGGGTTTCGTCATTTTAAACATTTTAGGTCTAAAAATGTATAAAATGTACACTCGAAATTTCCATCTACAAAAGCCCTTCAATTATTTAGTTATATCGAGTAAGATGATCAAAATCTTGATATTTTTCAAGATCAAAGTCCTCCCCAAAACTGATGTCTTAACCCATACATGTGCTTTTTTTTGTTGTCATCTTTCATGAATTTTACCCAGCCCAAAAACGGGATCGACGGCGTACCATTTCATATTTTCAGAGTTGGTTTAGATCGCATTGCATGTTTTCGCATGCAATCGGTTTTAACTACAGTCATTGTACATGCGCATATTTGGCATCCGATCCAGTTCGCATTTTCGAATTTCAACTCAGTAAAATCAATCAACTCGCGTTCAAAATTGTCAAGCCAAAGATGGTGGAAAATGACGTCCAGTGCCAGTCCCTATTGTTTCTGTCTGCGCGGGAAAGACAAGACTGCATGTAGACGTATGCCGAAATTTCGTGTTTTGACTTCGAATTAAAGAATAATATTATGGCTTTATGAACTGATAACTTGATGAGCGATACGGTCCGTTAGAAAAGCACTGGAATTAGGTGCGAAAGTTATTTATGACCTTCATGGATTTGAATAGGACGTCAATTTACGCCATCGTGGCTTTTCTCATAATAGGCCGATTGACTGACGTTCTTACTACAGATGCATATATAGCTCACTGCCATCAGACCACCGTTTGACTTACTCGAAAGATAGGTATTCCAACACTGTCAAAGAACTGCACTTGCATTCTTGGGAGTTCGTTCTTCTTTTGTCTATCCATCATTGCCTGTTGGATAATAAATTGGTGGTGTCAGATTTTGATATTGTTTCAAGGAAATCAAGATTTCGATCGATAAATAAAATAACAAGTTACTTATGAGCAAAAATTGGCACATGCCATTGAGCCATGAATTTCATCGCTCAGACTAATGTTTTTTTAAACAAGACGTAATCTTACAGGAATATCATTTTCATTGAATTTCTCTCTTTCTATATCACCTTGCTGGATGAATTCACTCGTGACCAAATGTACGACCTAAAGTGAAATAAAACGCATGTTTTCAAGTTTTCAGTATATTAATTATATGTATAAATACAAAATTATGTAAGACACGCATGAATGGACTTTGCTACGATGAAATCCCATGGGTGGGGATTTTGTATCATTATTTAGACCCAATGGTGGGGCATTTGCAACATTTTATCGCCTAAATGTCAAATGCCTGACAAATGCGGGGGTTATCTAGTCTAATACTCTAATACGTCGACTTTTCTTCTTCAGTGAAGGTGAATAGTGCAAGGATTTGCAAGGATAGTGAATGTCCTTGAACTATTCACCGCCACGGAGGTGAATAATTGTTTTAGTATTACCATTGGCATTTGTGACCAATCAATGCGAAATTGATCACAAAGCTCTCAAATGCCTATTCCATTGTTACTGAGAGTTTCGTCGATCTACATATCTGGATAACAAAATATTTAACTTGGTCATGTTCAATTTCAAGGTTGGCCTGGGAACATGCATAAAATGACGTAATTGAATGTAATACTAGTCGTTTATTGGCTACGAACCCTGCGAATACTTCTATCTCATTAAAAAGAATTATAATTTTGTACAGTATATATAGCTTAGATACGGTAGATGGTACTGCTGACAGTGATGTGAAATATTTAGGCTAGATCTTCTTTCCAAGTTCTGTTATTATACCTACCTCTCGTTGAGTCTTCCACGGTTTAGTTATTCCAGAAAGATCACAGGCAGTCATCATCATCCCTCTATTCGAAGGAGGAACGAAAAATGTGTTTTACATTCATGTAAATGCACCATGCTCCAAGTTAATAATAAATGCGACAAGTTAAGTCTTACTAGCTAGTCGAGACGTATTACAGGAGTCAATCAAGTGCATAAGGTAAATTGTAGGGGGATAAAAAATAGATCTTTGTGAAATTCGGCTTCAAATGCACTCGTCCCCAAAACGTATGCAAATATTCATGATCTAAAATTCATAAAGTTTTATAGTGCTAGTGAGGGAAGACTCATGTCAAATCGTTATTGGTTCTGTTCATAGTCCCTACCTTAGCATACTTCGATGTTCCTCATTCTCCAAATTTAATTCACCATTTTCAACCAACGGGAAAAATGTCGAACGGTACCTGAAAACATCGTACAGAAAATTGTTTTACCTTTCATCTTGGAGGTAAAATAGCAATCCTCAGAAATATAAAAACTAGCTTCGTATTATTCCGACACTGCAGAGTACAACTTCTTTGTTTCGAGTGGGATTTGAACAGAGCGCCGCTCTACCCATTGTCCATATCATTGAGTTATCGAGTCAACGGGGATGATGCGAGTTCGAATCCCGCTCGAGGCAACGAATTTATCGTTGTACTCTGCAATGTCAGAATAACATGAAACTAGTACGTAAAATAGCAAGATAAACGATAATTTGAATTTCCTCCGTTGCCGTGACACATGCGTATTGAAAATAATTCATTCAAGATATGCAGATCGCTAATATTCGCCAAAATAATTCGAAGACAAGGAACTAAGATAAATTTGGCAATTTAGGTAACTCACATGATACTTTAGGTAACTCGTATGCCTATAGCTACGATTGGTCTAGTTTACAGAAGCACAGTCAAAGAATAGAATAAAGGTAACTAAGCTTTGCAATTATCTAAATGAGTGAAAAACTCCTATGTTAATGCCTAGTTACCTTTGTTCTATTCTATACGCTTCTGTAAACTAGAACAATTGCAGCTGGGCATGTGGGTCATCCAAAGTTCTGAATTGGGTAGCATGCAACGATGCAAACAACAAAAGAACAGTACGAATAACATTTTGTAGCTTTAATGAATCGACGTTTCGACTATATTTTAGTCATTGTCCTGACGATGACTAAAATATAGTCGAAACGTAGATTCATTAAAGCTACAAAATGTTATTCGGAGTTACTGTTCTTTTGTATTTTAAAAATACTCAGTGTTTCCCGTAACTGTGTAAACAACGTTAGCCAAATGGATAATCATCTTTGATGATATAACTTGTTGCTATTTTACATGACCATTGAAGCTTACTTAAAATTGATTGCCAGGTCTGTGGAGAGAATTGAATGTCGGAGCAAGCTTATAACCTTCCGGTAGCCCTGTGATGAGAGGTTTTGGAAGATGTTGTGTCCCTAAAGAGAGAAAATAACGAGGGTTCTGTAAATAAGGCGATAGTTTATAAAATAGGGGAGAACAAAATTAACGCACTATACAAAATGTCACCAACGATATCAAAAATACATAATTATGAAAGACGTAAGCATTTATTTCTACAGCGCTGGTTTGTAATGTCTCCTTAGGCTAACAGTATATTATGAAATATAAAAAATATCTTTCCAGAAACTGAACAAGTAAGAATTGAAATCTTCAGCATTAACCAATTCTTTTAAATAGACCCTTTCAAGGTTAATGACGCCATAATGGAACACAATAGTGCAAGGGGTGCAAACACAATGAATTCCCTATAGGTAAATATGCAGGGGGTGCAAACACAATGGTGAAAACAATAGATTCAAGATGGCGTCTTTAACCTTGGAAGGCCCTATTATAAAGCACCTATAAAATACAAGCAATGTTTACACTGTAAGGCTTATGCAACCTTAAGCCCGCCGCACACGAGCGCACTTGTCGCGCGTACTTGTTATTCGTGACAAGTTGGATTGACAAAACTTCCTCGTGTGCGGGCAACATTTACGGCATTTTCGTCATTCGTGACATGTAAACGAAATATCAAACATGTTTGATATTTTTCGTCATTCGTGACAAAAAAATTCTCGTGTGCGGCGAGCAAACGACAAGCGCGTCTGAATAGGAAAACTTGCGCATGCGTGCAACTTGCAGAATTAAAAACAAGACACGAGATCGTGATTTTGATCCGCCATGTTGTTTTTAATTCTGCAAGTCACACGCATGCGCAAATTTTCCTATTCAGGCGCGCTTGTCGTTTGCTCGCCGCACACGGGAATTTTTTTGTCACAAATGACGAAAAATATCAAACATGTTTGATATTTGGTTTACATGTCACGAATGACGAAAATGCCGTATATGCAATTCTGTATTTGAATAATGTTATGTCTCCGTGACTCGTCAGTATATTAAAACGAAGATGCTCATTTACAATATACATAGTGCTTTTGATTTTTCATATAAAATACCATTACTACGAGCCACTATATAATTTTATTTACAGCAACAAGTTTGTGTTGTTTTTCCAAAGCAGTAAATGCACATGGTGATATGTCATATAAATTGATAATTACCATATAATTTCTGGATAAATGACATGGAATACCTTTACATGTCCAGGAAACAGTCTTTGTGTTTCAACACGGTTCAATGAGTGTGACTCATCGCTTGATTTTCAAAGTTGCAGTATAATTCGCTAAAGCTGAAGTGAAGAGCTCAGACTAATATCACTCGATCCGTATTACTATCAGACTAATGAAATGAGGCATAGATCGCTAACTTGTCAACCAAAACGTATTTTGGGTTTCTTCGAATGCATACGTGCATTTTGCCAACCGGCAACGTTAAAAGATTACTGGATTTAAACCAAACGTTATACGAAGGTGCGAAAGTAGAGATCAAATACGAAAAGGAACTTTACGAAGCACAAATTCTGAAAATTCACGGTAAGTTTAATGTTAGAAATATAAATATCTAGGATTCTAGGTCTGCAACGCTTGTATATAAGCATAAAACGTGGTGTGAAATCGCTAACATGAATATTTTCCGACGCCCACGGTTTGTTTATGAAAAGCGAAACGCGATAATTTCCGACGATCTACGAATAGAACTCTTTCTCAGCTGCGTCCTCGCCCGCAGACGCAACGCGGACGCATGGCGCCCGCACAGTGGACGCACCCACAAGCGCCCGCAGACGCACAGTGGACGCACGATGGACGCACGGCGCCCGCAGGACGGACGCACCCGCGGGCGCCCGTAGACGCACAGTGGACGCAAGATGCCCGCGTCTTGTGTGTGTAGGCCAAGTCTTGTAATACGTGGTTTGAACGTGGCTCCGTTGTTCTTTTGGGACAAAATTTGATTTCGTCTTATCCACAATTATAAGATTAAGGGAAAAAACCTGTTTCATACCTCAGTATTAAGGATCATTATCGTATGATTAAAGTGATGATGCTCCATTACACTGGTACCATAAAGCGTTGCTAAGGGAGACGCTGTCCTGCGAAAAAATATTGATTTCATATTTACAACATAGATTTCAGAAACAAAACTTTTAACAGAACTTTGGTTTAAAGTATTTAGGCTATTCTAAATTTATTTCGACTCAGTGTGGCCAACGTAACGGTACTTTTAATTGTAATTTTAGCATTAGATTTTAATCACAGTTTAGTTTGATTCATAGTATTCTTAGTGGAGTGAGCAAAACTGAAAATCGTTTAGTACAATAGGCTTTAATTTGAAGCAGTGTTTTAAATTTTGCTTAGTGAGGGTGTATGAGTTGCTTATTAAAGTTTTTTCCAACAGTGCTAGACACTGCATGCTTTCCACAGAATTTTAAATTTCTTGTATTACCATATTTTATTGTAGAAACATGTTTACTAAAATGAACAGGAGAGCAATTAATTCCAAATTGCCCGATTTGAAATGACTTCATTTCAAAGAGTTTTTCGGCAAAAAGCATGTTTAACGACCATTTAAAAACGTTTTATGGAGCGTCTACTAGGGTTGAATTTTACATTAATTCGAAGAAAGTGCATAATAAATACTATCACGATATATTTCGGAAAGTGTTGCCACAAAATAATGAAAAACATGATCGTGTTACCATGACTACTGTTTGACGTCAGGATGACACGAGTTAGCGTTCAGTCATTTGTTGGCTAACTATTTTTTGGGAAATATAATTGTTTGGTTTAAAAAGGCAAGGATTTTCTGTATGCGTGTCATAATTTCTAGTAAAAATAATAATTCCAAAACTAAATACCGTAACAAAGGCACTGTTGTAAAATCCATAGCGAAAGCGATAGTGAGTAAAATACATGGTTGTGAGCTACAATAGTAATTATGGAACATACTTTGCTTGAAATGCGTTGTTGGTCCCCCGATGATCAACATCATGGCACAAACATCCAGCCAGTAAAGCCAAACACTCCAGCTTGCTCAAATGCTGTTTCATATTCCCTGCCTTGAGTAAAGTATACAGATAGCAATTGAAGGATCAAATTATTGCACGACACCCTTATTTTCAAGGGGTTCTATATTTTGGGCTACTTTCGGGTGTAAAAACACATTAAGAAAGATCTCAATGCCCTTTTTGGCCAACAAATTGGCCAAAACAGGTTTTCTCATATAACTTTCTCTGACGATCATTCTGTAATAAACAACTACTAAGGCGACTTAATGAAAAGGTAATGAATCGTCCACCTGTTTGGAGGGCCGACTGGGCAGTTACTTTCGGAATCTCACAGTGGAATATAGTAACACTCCAACGTATGTATTATTTTCAAAACGAGAAAACGCCCCACTACCGCATTATACCTCAACATTTCATCTTGTTACAATAATGTTATGATTTAAAAGTTTAATTTTCTACGTAAAGTGCTTAAAATAGTTTAACGATGTTTATATTACTCACGGTTAGTATGGCAAACATTGATTGCGCCACGTTAAAAGCATGTCTCCAATTGTGGTAGATGACATTCCTGTAATTCTTGCGCGTTGTTGTCAGCCACCAACACAACGTCTATAAAAAAGAACAAGCAAGGTACGTTATAACCACCTCCAAAGTTGATAAGGTCACTTTTTTCTCCTATGCAGGAGCAGTCAAAATTGGATACCTGAAGACTGGCACCCTTTGATCAGTGGCGACGCTGAGACCAATGGGTCCTTCAGGGGTTTTGCGGTCTTGCTGCGCAGGAAAATTTTGAATTGTGTGAGACCTCGGTGATCATTTTCTACATGTTCATGGCGAAATTCTCATCAACAGAGCAAAATATTCTGTACTTTGAAGGAATTTTAGATCACCCCTGATGAAGACACTAGACTGGAGTGTCGAAACGTTGGGTCTTGATTACAATTCGACTGGGCTTTGTAATCATTTATTTAAACCAGAGTAGCGAGCGAAACATGAATTTAAATAGTTACCATTCGCCTCCTCGAGAGTAAATGATCCTAACGTACGTGAGCATAATGTACCTGATAATCAATGTTGAATTCTTCGATCAAGCCACAATCAAGAAACATTCGAACTGAAGCTGTTAGCATCTGGTCGGCATCCAAGGAGAAATCATCGAATTTCATACTATTTAAGTTGATACTTGTCTGGGATGGAATCAATGAGAGCTACAGTACAGAAAGAATTAGAAACATGTTAAAAATCGAATATCGAAAAATAGAGACAACTGATCGATGGATGAGGCTGTAAAAATCATTCATTTACTGCAATGGTTTCGTATGTGCGCGATTTGTGCTTGAACGTGGCAAAACACGTACAGTGAATACAATACTAGTATATCCTGTACTTGTCTAGCTGAAAATAATATACAGCAACATATTAAAACCTTTAGTTTTTCCACTTCCAACTGAGGACATTTGACGTGGTAAGAAAGTACCTGGGTAAAAACAAAAAAGTGAATCAAGGATGTATAGACTTTGCTTTATAATAAATCCTTAGTCCAAGTAACAGGCATAATGCATGTATTATAACAGCCTAGCATAAAAGCCTATTTACACGATACGATTAATTTTGTACGATTCTTATTCTGGTGTATACAGTATGTGTTATCAAATAAACACGCGTGGAGAAATTTCGTCAAAAACTAAACGAAGAGGGATTGCGACGGCAGCACTAATTTCCATACGCTAGAATGAGAGTTGTATACGACAAATCGTATCAAGTAGACAGACGTTTCTATTAATATTTGATGTTTTACTCGTGTAAAAGCTAATTTTATTAGAAAGACTTCTTGGATCAATTCGCTACCTACCTCCAAAGCCACTTGCTGCTTAGCTTTCGCTTTTGCCATTTGATCATACAACATCGTATTGTTAATTCCGAGTCCACAAAATAAGACGATTGCCTGCAAAAGTGGCAATTACGAAAACTGCATGTGTTGTAATTGATACCGTGCATGTTGTCCTAATCATGGACCTTTCTAGGGCTGTGCGCCGGACCTGGAGTGCCGGAGTTGGAAAACTCCGGCAGACAAAATTCTGAAAAATTATTTCACATTTCAATGAACTTTTGGTAATGGAAAATTTAAGTTGAATGATTTGAAGTTACTATAAAGTTTAATTACTTGCTCTTATCCGATTCGTGGTTTCGAAAATTCTGCAAGCGCATTGCTATCGCTTTTGATGCAAAAATCCGCTGACCACGATGTATTTTGGGCGAAAATACCACGCTGCCATGCGGTCTTACTTTCTACAAAATATTGTTTAAACAAGCACGGAAGCACGTATATTTGATAAGTAAAAGAGAAAGCTCAAAAGGGAATAAAATAAATTCTGAAATAACACTGAAATATTTTCCCCTGCCTTCACTTTTAAATATGAAATTTCCTTAAAAATTCCTTGCCGGAGCAGGAGCCGGAGTTTTGACTGCCGGAGCTAAAATAACTGGAGTGTGCACAGCTCTAGACCTTTCAAGATGCATGCGAGTTTTGGTTTGCGCGTTTTATATTATATTATCAAGAAATAAACACACATGAAGTATCAGACGTCTACAGTATTTCAGTTGATTAACTTGATTTAGTATAAACCTACTAGTAGGCTATCATATATCGTGCCTTCTGATTGGCTACGCTACTAGTAGGCTATTAGTGATAGCCTACTAATAGAAAATTTAAAATGGCGGAAAATTCGCGTTTTGCACTTTTGCCGAAGTGTCTGATGATTTTTTGGACGACTTGTTGCCAATTCTGTACTAAAAAAGCCCGAAAAAAGCAACAAAAATATGGAATGGCAATTTTTAAGGCTAAGAAAATAGACAAAATAACATACACTCAATGAAATTTTAAAATTAAAACTGAATTTTGTAAAACATTTTACGCGAACAAAAACTAAAATATTTGTTTACCTTTAATGGTTTTATAATGGTTTTTGTGTATTTTTGTATTGTGTTTGCAGCCTAGTTTTAAATTAATGTTAAATTTATACTAAAACAATTAGACAACTCGGTCTCGTTGTCTATGAGCAAATAGTCAACTCGGCTTCGCCTAGTTGACTATTCGCTCATAGACAACTCGGCCTCGTTGTCTAATTGTTAATTATCTTGTATTCTATTGAACATAATTTGATTGAACTTTCTTTTCATGTTATGAATATTGACCATTGAGTAATTTTGGAACATACGACTTACCTCGAATAGTGAGATATCGTTTTCGTCAAATGGACAATTATTCTTGTTCATTAACGAAGCAACGCCTGAAACGATAGTGCCAGACTTGTTATCAAGTTACCGAAATTTGACGATGAATTCAGGACAAAGTGAATCGTCTTACCTAAAATTTCGGACTTGCTATTTCGTATTGGCATACTTAGTACTGACTTAATTTCGTCGCATGAACGTCCAGCCTATCCAAATAAAATTTTATGAAATTACATGGAAGAAACAAGGAAACTGCGACTAAGAAAATTCATGCATGTAAAGAAAATAATATAAGAACAATTCTGTTTCTTTTATATCTAATGATTTGCTTACCAGATTTTTCATATTTGCGTCTTCATTGAGATCTGATATACACAACGTCTATAGAGAAACAAAATATATTTTGTCATAAAATGTTTGAGAAATAGAATAACTGGAAGCAAATCTTTACCAAGTGCTCTTAAAAATATTGTTAATCGTTAACTTGTTGATACAGTACATCTCATGTTAAAATAAAGCCTTATACGTCTGAATAATAAATTAAGAACTAGGATGAAAAGATACTTACTTTTGGATTCGACACAACACGCTCACTTAAAATGGTTAAAGCGTTCAACAATTCTGCATTTATTTCACTGTAAAAATACGTTGAGAGTAGTCAATAACAATGTTGCAGCATATCAATCAACTTTCAGGAGCATATATTTGACACCAACTGCCCACCACCATTACTTTAATTTTGTCTAGGTGTTATATTCCATTAAAATAGAAGTAAAATCACAGAATAAAGATCAGTAACAGAAGGGCCACTTACGTCGGAAGCTTTGAAGTTTGTGTCCTCGCGCATGTCGCATTACGCATGTTGGCCGCCATTTTCCTAGCCAGTCAATGACATTTTCTGGCCAATAAACACGCTGTACTGGCTGTGTGTTCCGCCTTCTGGCCCAGTAAACTGCATATTTTTGCATAAAAAATCGAGGACACGTTGCATCGCGGAGTGGCCCTTCTGTTATTGATCTTTATTCTGTGGTTTAATAGAACGATTGAAAGCATCTTGTCGATTTAAACACTGCATAAAGTTTATCAAGTTAATAATAAGCCTCTTGGAAAACTTTTTTCGCTCTTTCGATAAAGAGCCCCACCGTTGTTGTGTGATACGACAACATTGATCTTTTAGTACGTAATTTAATTTGTTATGTTAATTACTAAGTTTTCTTAATAATGGTAAAACACTTTCAACGTTCAAACTATCCGTTGCATATAGATTTCAGTTATGTGTTCGAATTCGGTGTGACGCAGACTTATGTACCTCCATGCAAAGTCTTCCCCCAATGGGGGGAGTGCGGGTACACGGGCAATTGAGAACAAGTTAATGCCCTTGTATTTAAATTATGCAAGCTCTGAGCATTCTTCAGGCACTGAGTTAGTTGTATAACAAACATACTTGCAGGAAGGTTCGTCCGGGATTGACGCACCCTCGAGAAACTTCCGACCTCCCTGCAAGTATGTTTGGTTATTTATCCTATGCCGCACTAATTACTAATACCAAATTAAATTTATATGCGAAGAAAAATTCAACTCAGTACTTCGTCTCACACTATATTTCGCAAACATAGTACCTTTCTCAATTCTTAAAGATGTGCTCTTATGATCTACGTAATTATCCATTTCCGTTTCATTTTTTTTCTTTGATTTGTCTTCATTTGCCCGCCATTGCTATCGACGAGGACGGCAACGTAAGCAGTTTATATCGCAGGTGAGTTCGGCGAAGGGCAGGTGAGTTCGAAAAAACTCACCTGCTCGGAACCAATCGGGAATCCTCTTTTAACACAGGTATGGGATAACAGTTTTTATAGACTTAGTATGTAGATCAAGCAATATGGTTTCTCACTGAAGATATAACTTCACCAACATGCTTGGTCGAAATTGTTTTTCAAAAACTATATTTTAAATTAAAAAGGATATACGTCTGTCCATACAACCTTTGAGTGTGGATTATTGACTCAAAATTTCCCAAAATATCAGTAGCCCCTGGGTATACCCGCACATCCCCGTTGGGGGAATACATTGATAGGTGCATTATGTTGGATATACTTGACGAGCACATACAAGAGGGGCTGGGTCGATCAATTAATGGAAAGCACATGGTGGAGGATCATGATAAAAATGGTTGGAACTATTACTATGGTTTAAAAAACCTCCATAATAATGTCAACACACAAAAATGAGCGATTTGTTATTGGTATCCGACGGGATTTTGTAGTGCATATTTTATTAAGATGGCGGCTATCAGGGGATGTCTTCCCATGCAGGTCACAATTACGTTTCTTCGCTAATATACATTCCTTCTATTTCCGGAATCAAGTAGTCTTACCTTGCGATAACAGAATGTCTGCCTGACGTCGTCGTTTTTAAATGGAAGTTGTTGGAGAATTTCAAGTTCTAAAAACAAAAACATTCTCAAGCCTATTGAAGAAACAATGGAAACGTCAAGTGAGAAATTTGAGGTATGATCGACTGTAAACTGCGATTGACAATATCCAACCCTACCGGGGGGCGACTCATCCAAGGGAGTCTGACAGGGCAGGAAAAACGAATTTCCGTTTAACATTCCCTGCGAGCAGTGCTCGCATGTTCCCCTATTTTTTCCACCCCTGGTTCAGCCCGGAGACAAATTTTGCGTTTCCGAAGCCTCTGAAGAATATTTTCCGTGATTCCTGAAAGGAATTTTTTTTATCAAAATTGTGAATTTTTTGCACTTTATAAAAACTCACGTTTTTGTGATGCACTTAGTTTTGAAACGTTTGCAAACTCTGTATGCAATCACAAGCATGAACGAAATGGCTTTTTCATGAATGAATTTCTTTTTTATATAAACACAAAATCAATGTAACAACAAACTGTCACGAGTAAGTTGATTGTAATTGCCTGGGCAAAAAGAAATATACGTATGAAAAGAATACAATCCTCATGGGTGAGAAAATTATTGGCGGGGGGCCCTACCCGCTTCCGACGGCCGTGTAATTTCCTCTGGTGTTTTTACCTCAGAATTTCTATCAGCAAATGGTCCATCTCCTGTTTCAGCTAAAGGTTCATTTAACAACATCACCGAGCAGTGTTCACATTTCATCAGCTTTAAACTTCGTTTCATTACTCTGTTCACAACCTTACTGATTGACGTCTGTTCTTCAAAGATGTCATGAATCATCTCAATCAAGACCTAAAAGCAAAACAAAATAATACTACGTCCACTCAAATTGTAAATCGGAGTGATAAATTATTCTTCAGTACGTAATGTTCAAAATGTGCATCTGAAAGTCATCTCAAATATCCTAGGGTAAAAATTTCCATGCACGCACCAACATGCACTGAGGTGCCTAATTGAACCCCGTGTGCGAACTACTGTATAATTTGATAACTAGTACTTTTCATAATACCATCCAGCTGATATTGCGCGTTGCTTTTCTTTCCATTTTCTGAACATTCGCTCTGGTAAAGTAAAGCTAACCTTGTTTCTTCGAAATTCTTTCTGCGATAATTCAAAGAGCTGTGCATTCGTTATTCCTATTCCACAGAATGGTAAGTATCTGTCACACAACTACATAATGAAAGAAAACATCAAGGAAATTACTTAGTTCACTCGCCAAATTATCGAGGGAGACACTACTAAAATCCTAGCAACAATTAGTTTTGACACTTTGACAGCGCATGCCCAAATATCTATAAGTATACTTCAAGATTTTCACTGATTTGCTTGCAAGAGCAGAAGACCACCCCCCCCCCCTCAGCCCTCTCCCCTTGGACCTCCCCCCCCCAGTCATCCCCAATGATGACATCATAAAGAGTCTATATTAATGATTTGCGAGATCCAGAGTTGTGCATGACAAGGGGGAGGGGTAAAATACCAGATCACTCGCTAGTCGCTTCCTCAGACGAATGAACCTATCGCATATCAAACATTAGCATATCAAAGGGCGCTTTCCATTAACACGGCCAAACCGGTCAGAACGGTCAAATTGTTGACTGGAACACAAAACGTTTGGGCTTCGGACCTATCTGACTGGAAAATTTAGATAACATTAGTGTAGCGAACTGGGCTCATTACGGAGCTTTACGAAGCCAAGACGAACATTGACATATTTTGTGATGGGTCACGTGATTAACAAGCATGCGAGACTAACCAGCGAGAGAGGAACAGTGAGAAATCAGTGAGAGAGATTTGTATTTTATTATTATTATAAAGTTATTATAAAGTTATTATTATTTTGTTATCGTGATTTGCCCTGGATACTTCTCAGGGAGGCAAGAATTCAGGACACTTGGCACCTCCGACCGGGATTTATGGAGATTTTTATGTAAACAACGAATACAATACATAGCAATATGGCAGAAGAAAACGACTCGAAATCAAGTGTTGAATTGGCGACAAAACTTGTACAACTCGGAAGAGCTAGGGACAAAACAGAAACGATATTGCAAGCTGCAAAAGAGAGTGCTATCAAGAGACATGTCGAGACATTGAGAGAGATAATAAACGAAGTCAATAAACTAGTACGAACGATCGAAGCAGAGAAAATTACAGCTAAGGAAAACAGCGACGGGATTGACACATGGATCGGTGAAATAGAGGAGAAATTAAACGAGGGCGACGAGAAAATTACTATTTTAGAACAGTGGTTGAACGAAACGCGAGAGAAACGTGAATATAGCGACCAGAAAAAGAAATTAGACTTTGAAATGGAACTTCATGAGGCCAAGATGAAACTACAAGCTCAGCAAATAAACAAAGAATCATCAAAAGAACCGACGTCAAGTGAGATTCCTATTCCAAATTTGCAAGCCAAACTACCGAAATTGACAATTACAATATTTGATGGATCGTATGGAGACTGGCAGAGATTTTGGGGACAATTTTCAGAGACTATTGATAAAACAAATGTACCACCAGTAACAAAATTCACATATTTGAGAGAGTTGCTATGCGACAAAGCAAAACGTGCGGTTGAGGCTCTTCCATTTACTGCAGAGGGTTACAACAGAGCGGTTTCAATTCTCAAGGATAGATTTGGTAAGGAAAGCGAGATAGTAAAAACATATGTCAAGGAGATTCTCGAACTTCCATATACGGCAACATCAAATCCTAAAAGGATACATGAATTTTATGAGAAGTTATCATATTGTGTACAGTCGCTTGAGACATTGAAAAAATTGGAAGCTGTGAATGGAACTGTTGCCATGACATTGGACAAATTGCCAAACATACGGGGTGATTTAGTACGGAACGACTCAGACTGGGAGAAATGGGACTATATTCAACTAACCGAAGCATTACAACATTGGACTCGAAGGAATCCAGTCGAAGCACAGAAACCAGATGATGGGAGGAAGAAACAAGATCGGCGACAAGGCGGTTATCAGTTCTCAACGCAACAGAAGTCGTATCAGATAAGTAAAAGTTCTCGAAAGTGTGTATATTGTAGTTCTGAGAGTCATAGATCTGCTGAGTGTGACACAATTTTGACATTCGAGGACAGGAAAAAGTTTCTAGCTACAAAACATCTGTGCTTTAACTGCACAGGGCCCTCTCATAGGGCAGCTGAGTGTAAGAGTGTCTCGAAGTGTCGATTTTGCAATAAACGTCATCATACGTCAATTTGTGATGCACCCAAAGCAGACGAGCATGAGATAGCAAAAACAGCTCATACCGGGGGGGATAGTGAAGTTATTTATCCAGTGGTGAAGGTTGAAGTAGACGGGATTAAGACACACGCACTGCTCGATACTGGAGCAGGAAGCTCCTATGCTTCCAGTAGTCTAACCAATGCATTGAAGAGAAAACCTAAAGCTGTCAAAACAAAACAAATTGAAATCATGTTAGGATCCACCACCACCAGAGTAGAAATTTATGCAGCCAGCATAAAATCCCTAGATCAGAAATTTGAGCTTGAAATTGAAATGTCAAAAGTTGATAAACCTGAGCTAATGAAACTCAACAACCCAAATTATGCCCACCTGTTAGAGAGATACAAACATTTGAACAGTGCAAAATTCGAAGATCCTGACACCCGTACACAAATACCTGTACACCTTGTGCTTGGGGCTAGTGATTATGCCAAAATTAAAACCACTACGGCTCAAAAGGTGGGGAAGCCGGGGCAGCCGGTGGCAGAGAAAACCCTCCTTGGTTGGACGGTGATGTCTCCAGGGAAGGAGGAGGGTCCCATCCTGTTAACTCAATCCACTACTATAGATTATGAGCAGTTATGTGCATTAGATGTCCTCGGACTTCCGGACAGAAATGAAAATGATCAGAAAACTGTGTATGAGGAATTTGAAGAGCAGCTTAGTAGAGATCAAGCGGGCTGGTATGAGACATCATTAACATGGAAAGGGAATCACCCCCCACTGCCAACTTATGAGAACAGTAGCAAGCGTCGCCTAGAGCAGTTGCTTAAGAAACTTGAACGGAACGGACAGTACAAACAGTATAATGACATTATACAACAACAGTTAAATCAGGGAGTAATTGAGCTGGCACCTACCACTAAAACAGCAAAAGAATTTTATATTCCCCACAAAGGCATAGAAAGGAAGCAAGCTGAGACCACTAAGTTTAAAGTGGTGTATGATGCGTCTGCGAAAGAGAGCGGATCCCAACCATCCCTCAATGATTGCCTCCACCCAGGCCCCCCTCTCCAGAACCTGTTATGGGACGTCCTTGTTAGATCTAGATTTCACCCCATTCTGTTAACAGGCGATTTGAAACAGGCTTTTTTACAAATCAGAATAAAGGCCGAAGATCGAGATTCATTGCGATTCCATTGGAAAGAGACTGGGAACGATGCAATACAAATCTACCGGTTTACTCGTGCCCTGTTTGGGCTGACTTGCTCCCCATTCCTTCTCGGGGGAGTCCTTAAACACCATCTGGATGCTTGGGAAGATCGCTATCCCGAGATAGTGAAGCAATTACGCGAAGGACTGTATGTTGATGATTTGATTACGGGGGGTACCACAGTCGCAGAAATCCAGACCCAGAAGGAGAAAACTATCGAAGTTTTCAACGATGCCACTTTCACAATACACAAGTGGCACTCAAACGTACCTGAACTCGAGCCAAAGAATCAATCGTTATCAGAGATAAGTGAATTAACATATGCCAAAAGTCAACTGGCAGGGATCGACCAGCCCGATGGGAAACTACTTGGTGTGCCCTGGGATAGGAAGCACGATACTATTAGCGTGACCCTCACCACAGACGCTGAACCTGTAACTAAGAGAAGCATCTTGTCAAAATTGGCACGAATCTACGACCCCCTGGGCTTGGCTTCACCAACCACACTGACCGGAAAACTTGTTTATCGGAGTGCGTGTGACAGTAAAATTCCATGGGATGCAGACCTACCAGGGCCACTACGAAAGAAATGGAAGGAATGGAACGAAGCGCTCGAGTCCTATACAATCCCTCGGTCCTTAGCCTCATACCATCAACCAATTCAAGAGATCACCTTGCATGGATTCGGAGACGCGAGCTCAAACGGCGTTTGTGCAGTCGTCTATGCAGTAGTCAAACAAGAGGATGGAGTTACCCAGGGATTGGTATGTTCGAAGTCACGAATAGCGAAGCGGAACTTGACCATTCCACGTCTTGAGCTCATATCGGGACACATGACTGTAAACCTAGCCACAAATGTTCAACAAGCTCTCACTACTCATCCAGCAACTGTTCATTGTTGGCTCGATTCATCCGTAGCTCTGTACTGGATCAATGATCAAGGTGAATACCGACAATTTGTGGCAAACAGAGTACAAAAGATTCGTCAGCACGAGAATGTTACTTGGCATCACGTTCCAACAGTGGAAAACCCAGCCGACATCGGAAGTCGGGGAGGAAAGGTCTCTGGGAACACGTTATGGAAAGAGGGTCCATTATGGTTAAACAATCCTGCAGAATGGCCAGTTCAACGAGTTCTGGAACCGACACCAGATAGCAAATCAGAAGCGAAAGTGATTAAAGAAATCTTCAAAGCTGCGCACATTGAAGAAGACATCATGGATCTGCTACTTGATAAATATCCTTTACCGAAAGTGCTACGAATTGGAGCGTGGGTTCGACGGTTCATTCTGAATTGTAAACGACAACCTGCAGAGAGAGAGAGGTCCCATCAACAGTCGCGAGGTTCAACAACAACGAGAATGGTGGATACGACGGGCCCAAGACGCAGTCAAACACGATGCACGATATTTAGCCGACCGAGAGCGATTAAACCTACAGGAGAACAACCTCGGAATTCTGGAGTGTAGAGGCAGAATTATCGGAGAATATGTGCGTGGTCTTCGTGAGCAACACCGAATGACTAGACTTCGATCAATGCAACATCCCAAAGTTGGAAGTAAAGGAAGATCAAAAACCAAGAAATACCTGGAAACTTGCCATAGTTAAGCAACTCATCACGGGCAGAGACGGTGTAATACGGGCAGCTAAGCTTAAAACTGCTGGTGGTAATAACTACCTGGAACGCGCGATACAACACTTGTTCCCGTTAGAGTTACAATGCGATAAAGAGATTACAACTCGTTTAGATCCAGATGCACAAGAGTTCACACCCAGACAGAAGCGAAATGCTGCTGCAGCAGCAGCTACGTTACGCATAAGAGACATTGCAGAGGATGAAAAGGAACTTTAATTAAAGATTGCAGAGACTTGCTATGTGAACACTTATCGAAAGACAATTAATTAGTTCGTAATAAACATTTATATTATTCATAAAATTACTTAGTTACCCAGTTCGTATTGTGACATGTAAACTCTCAGAGTATACATGGGGGAGTGTGTAGCGAACTGGGCTCATTACGGAGCTTTACGAAGCCAAGACGAACATTGACATATTTTGTGATGGGTCACGTGATTAACAAGCATGCGAGACTAACCAGCGAGAGAGAAACAGTGAGAAATCAGTGAGAGAGATTTGTATTTTATTATTATTATAAAGTTATTATTATTTTGTTATCGTGATTTTCCCTGGATACTTCTCAGGGAGGCGAGAATTCAGGACAA